TCGTCACTGCTAGGTAACAGAGCACAGTACACTTACATATTTTTATTGATTGATCAAGACAGGGTCTCGCTATGTAGTTCAGGCTGGCCTTGAACTCATTATGTAGCCCAGGCTGGCTTCAAACTCATGGAGATCCTCCTACCTTGAGCTCTCAAGGGCTGGGTTTACATGTGTATGCCATCACACCTGGCTTAAATTTTATTAAATCCTGGCAGGTCACCCTCCAGAACAGACTGAACTAATCTATATATCCACCAAAAGAATACAAGGGTTTCCAGACATCTGTAACCTCCCTAAGAGTTGGCATCATGATTCTTTCCAAGTTTGCCAGGCTTATGATTTTAAATTGCATTTCTCTGACACGTTTATTGTCATTTACATTTAAATTTTTTCCTATAAATTGCCTGTCACTATCTTTTGACCACATTTCGGTTAGAGCTCTGTTTTCTTGTTGATTTTATTAGTTTCTTGTCCATGAGAAACATTTATAATAATCTCCCCTAATCTGTCATCTGGCAACTTTGTCTTTTATATTCTTTGCTAAAAAGTCCTTATAGTAAAGTGAGCAATACGATTTGTACTTTCTCCCCATCTAAAACATATTCTTTAATATAACGAGATATTTTTAGTTCATCTGAAGTCTACCTTTGTAAGACTGTTGGTGTGTTAGTTGGCTTTCCATTACTGTGGCAAATACCTAATATAACCAAATTAAAAAAGGAAAGGTTTATTTTGCCTCATAGTTTTGGAGGTGTTTGTCTACGGTCAATTGGCCTATTGCTCTGGGGCCTCTGGTGAGGCAGAAGGCCATGGCAGGAGCTGCTTATTTTATTGCTGCCAGGAAGCAAGAGAAAGAGGAAGAGGGTCAAGCTCCACATATCAAGGGCACATGCCCAATGAAGAGGCTTCCGTCGGGCCCCACCTTTTGTGAGTTCCACACTTTCTGTTAGTGTCACAGGCTGAAGACCAACTTCAGCACAAGGGGATTCAGGGAACATTCAAGATCCAAACCATGGCAGCTAGGTAGGGCTGAAGTTTTGTTACTCGAAAAGTAAGCTGGTTTTTCTAATCTCATCGAAGAGTCAGCAGCTCCTCTACTGACTTGTGGAGTCTCAGAAGTATTTGCATTTATCTCAGTACCTTTTATTTTATTCCATTAGCCTATGTGTCTATTCTTGGTAATCTAAACTATTTTTTTAAATTATTGCTACTTGATGTAAATATCTTGGAGGGCAAGTTTAGCCCTTTTGCTCTTCATTTTCACACTTGGGTTAGCTATTTGGCAAGCTTTCTTCCACATAATGTTTAAACCCAACTTAGGGTGATGTAGCACAAGAAAATATATTAAAAACACACAGTTATGTAGCACATTAGAGCGCATACAATATAACCACCATCCAAATCAGGAAATGGAAGCCTTCATCCTGCCACAGAAGTTTCCCTGTAACTTTTTTAAAAAATTAAGGTGAAATTCACATAAAATCCAATTAGCCATTTTAAAGCGAAGCATTTAATGCATTCACAGTGTTGTACAATCTGTACCTCTTTTTAGTTTCAAAACATTTCCATCACCCCAGAAGAATACCTGTATCCATTAAGTAATCATTCTCCATTATTCCTCCCTTTCCTCTGGCAAGCACTAATGTGATTTCCAGCTCTATAAATTCGCTTATTTCTGATATTTTATATAAAATGAATCATCTAATAGGTGACCATTGTTTTTGGTTTCTTTCTTTCACACAGCCTTTTCTAGATTCATCAAAGTTTTAGCATGTAGGAGTACCTTATTCTTTCTTATGGCTGAATAATATTCTAACATATGGGTACACATTTTGCTTACCCATTTACTCATTGATGGACACTTGGGTTGTTTCCACCTTTTGTTGCTGTGGACAGTGTTGCTATGCATGACTCTTTTAAACTTTAAACATTTCCCTCACTCTTGAAATGACTGCTTTGGTGACTTTTATTGCTTCCTTGCTTTTAAAGAATAATTGTGTCACATATTTTAGTATCACCCATGTGTTGAATTTTATACAAATGTGACTGTGCAGTACATAACCTTTTGTGTCTAGGTTCCTTTATTTAGCATCACACTTTAGGGGTTCAGCTATGTTGGGTGTAGTTGTGCAGTTGGTCCTCTGTCTGCAGATTCTGCTTTGGGGGATTCAGCTAACCATCAATAGAAAATGTTTGCTGTATCAAACAAATACATATTATTTCTTGTCATTATACAGTGGAACAACTATTTACCTTATAATCTTTTGGTTTTACTAACATCTCTACCTTTCTTACTTTTGACTTAACCTCTTCCATGGTCTTTATTAATTTAGTCTTGTTTGCCTGCAGATTTATCTCTCTCTCTCTCTCTCTCTCTTTTTTTGTTGGTGGTTATTTACCCAATTTCTGGGTCTGAGTGTTTAGCTCATTAGGGTTAACCTTTCGTGCATCTTGAAATGCTCATTTAACACGATGACTGGAATTTGCTCTAAAAATTGATATGTAGTGTTTACACTAGCACTGCATTTTAAAGTAAAAATTGTTTTGTTTTGTGTTTAGTACTGGGGATTAAACTCAGGTCCTTGTGCTTTCAAGGCAGGCAGTGGTGCCACTGAGCGGAATCCCCAGCCTTAGAGTATAATTTTTAGTGAATGACTTTCTAACCCACAAGCTGCTTAACAACATGCCAGTGAATTTCCAGGTATGAGATTTAAAAGTTACCATTTTATTATTTTCTTCTTTTGTATTAAATTGAACACATAGCTTTTATGATAGTGATCCTTAATCATGTAGTAAGACTTTTCTTTTACATCCTAATTATGACCCGTACTTGTAAGTTTGCTTGAAAAGAATGCTTATTTTGTTTGCAGGACACAGATCTTTGCATGACTAAGATGCGTGAATCTATGTCACTATATGATTAAGCCTGTTAGCCGCACTGCTTAGTTCTGGATTGCTCTTACTTTTGCCTACATGACTACTTTGTTTCTAGAAGGAGCACTAAAATCTCCAACCACAGCTGATTCTTTATATTTCTCTGTGTGTCGAAATTCAAGTTGGCACGATGAGAAAAGACAAGGTAAGGACAAGAGTGAAAGGAATAAATCCTTCATTTTTGTGGATAATATATACTTACAAAGTTTACATAAACTATTAGAATTAATGAAATTCATAAGGTGCTGGATATAAACCCTATACCCTAAAATAGGTTGGCAGTGTTGTATACAAATAATGAAGAATTAGGGAATGTAATTTAAGAAGTATTTACGTGAAGGTCCAAAACATAAGGTAGTTATGACTTAAAGAAATATTGCAGAGATGTCCAAAGACGATGTCATATCACATCCTTTTTCTGTGGTTCTGGGGATTGAACCCAGGGTTCCATGCATGGTGGACAAATGTTTTACTACTGGGCTACGTCCCCAGCTCGACATCAGTGTCTTTCCTAGCGAACATTGCAAGTCGCCTAATGTTGTCACTTTGAGAACTGGTTAAACACTTTAGAACATGACGTAGCAGAAATTAGCCTCCCGCCAAAAGTGAAAATGTTGACAATTATACAGTTGACCTGAAGGCTTCATGTGTTTGCAGAGTGGTTGGATTATGGGGCACTACAGGCAACTTGCTATGGACAGCTAGACAGAGGACGTGGGTAACAGGGCAGCTGGAAGGGGGAATTACCAGGACAGGTGCAGCTTTCCTCGGCCAGGCCCTTCTACGATGCCATTTCTGCCTTGGAGTTGGCCCGCTGCGGACTGCAGAGTGAGCCAAAGTAAACCTCTCCCCCATTCAGTTGTGGGGCCAAAAGTTTTGTCCCAGCAAATGAGAAAAGTGACTAAGACAGTGTACAACATGGATTTTTCGTAGAGCTGTGAGTTGAACCCAGGGTCTTGTGCATGCTGAGTGTATGTTCTACCACTCAGCTGCACCCCTAACCCCTGCAATGTACTTTTGAGTAAAAGGAAACTCATGAGGTAAAAGAGAGCAGGGACTGACTAATTTCATTTGTAGTAAGTATTTGTGCATTTCTACTTTATATGCATTGAAAGGTGTCTAGCGGCATGTTCACCAAAACACTGCAGCTGGTCCTTCTCCTCCTCCTACCTCTCCTTACTTTTGTGGTAGTGGGGATAGAAACCAGGACCTTGCAATGAGAGGCAAACACTCTACCAATGTGCTACATCTTAGCTAGTTCCTTTTTCCTTTCTTTTTATTTTTTGAGTAAACTGCCCATGCTGGCCTCAAACTTGTGGTTCCTCTGCCTCAGCCTTCCAGGTACTGTGTACCAGCACACCTAGCCAAAGCAATCACTTCTAGAGGGGACTTTGGTGATTTTATCTTTGAACTTTTCTTTATACTGTGACTTTTTAAACAGCAAAGACATGTCATTTTTTTCTAAGGTGATGGCTATATTTTATTTTTAACCAGGGTATTGGTCACATAGGTGCTCATATGATGGTGCACCCATATAATCCTACCTATTCGGGTGGCTGAGGCAGGAGGGCAAGTTTGAGCCCAGCCTGGGTAACTTAGAACCAGCCTCAAAACAATAAATGAAAAGAGGGGTGGGGATGTAGCTCAGTGGCATAGCACTCTGGATTTGATCCCCAATATAGAAAAATAATACATCTGTGAATTAGATATATACTTCATGATACAGTAATGGCATTTGAAAAGAATGTATCACTATTATGATCAAAACAAAAAAACACAGCTATTTTCCACTTTTAAAAAAACTCAGCATTTTAGATAACGATGGAAAGACAAAAAGGGTAAAGAGTCAATACCTTCTAGATGAAACTATGGGAAAAACTGCTTTTAAAGAGAGTTTCTTACAACGTCATTATTTAGGCATAAGTAAAAACTGGAAAACAGGCCTGACCATGGACAGCAGACAGGCCACAGCTCTCAGTGGCTTCAGAGACTGTGGCCAATCACGGAATGTTCCAAAGACCCCTACCCCCAAGGACAGTCACTGTAGGGACCGTATCTTTCATTACCTGATCAGCACACCCGTAGAATAAGGAGATAGTAGTGGCACCAAGGATAAGTTTGGGCCAGGAGAAGTCTCCAGACATGAGATTTCGGAAGATATGGAATGCATCCTGGCGAGGGTTGTAGCACTCCGGCTTGGCAGTCCAGTTTCCTTCACTGGTCTTTCCTGGGATGGCGTAGAAGTAATTACGCTCTAGTTGCTTGTATCCTCCCACTTTTCTAAAGGCTTAAAAGAAACACATTATTTACCATTTCCCTAAAGAGCACGGTAACACATGAGTGAAGAAGCAAGAAGGCAAAGTAAGACCCAATGTGATTGGCTGTATTCCAATCTGGCACGTGACTGAGGCTTAGCCAGCATTCCCTGTCTCCTGGGCAACCAGTGACGTATGAGGAGTGGACCTGAGCAAGCTGGGCTATTCAGATTTGCTCTTGTTCTTGTGCTGATGAAACCGAAGAAGACTGCTTCTTTGCACTAAGCCCCCTCTCCCCTTTTCCTCCTCCTTCCTCTCTTTCTCTCTCTCTCTCTCTCTCTCTCTCTCTCTCTC